AAGGAAGGAAGGAAGGAAGGAAGGAAGGAAGGAAGGAAGGAAGGAAAGAAGGAAAGGAGGGAGGGACACGCTGCCTAGGAACCCATGAGAGAGGTAGGGAACTATACGATAGCCGTCTCCCAGTATTTGAGGGGCTGCCCCTAAGAAAAGGGGGGGGGTTCAGCCTCTTCTCCAAAGCACCTGAAGGCAGGACAGGAAGCCAGGGTGGCACTGAAGACCCTCCGGCCCCCCCACCCTTCCCACTTACTCGCTCCACCGCTTAATGATGCCTGTGTTCTTCTTGGCTTTCAGCGTGTTGCTGGCCGACTCCGACAAGGGTTCGATTTCACACGAAAGGCCGTAGCTGAAAGCAACGGGAAGAGAGGACTGTAAGCATGGAGACCCACTTGTAGGGAGGTGTGGTCTAGCGGTTAAGGCATCAGGCTACAAAGCAGGAGGCGGCGAGTTCTAGTCCCGACTTAGGCACAAAAACTGGCTGAGTGGCCAATCACTAGGAGGTGGTGAGTTCTAGTCCCGACTTAGGCATGAAAACCAGCTGGGTGACTTTGGGCCAGTCTACCTCCCTCTGCCCAACCCACCTCACCGGAGTTGTCGAAAAATAGGAGGAGGAAGGTGTGTTGGTAAGGTTTGCAGCCTTATTTGCAAAAATAACCAGGCAGGATACAAAAACACACACAAAAATTATTTCTTGGCTTTACAGGCCGACTCCTCAACTTTCCTCCTCGTGAGCAAGAAACTGGGGCAGAGGAGAAGAGAGAGACAAACCCAGGGAAACCTTCACCTGCAGCCGCGTTGAAGACAGGCGCCCGTCTTACCTCTCGGCTTCGCTGAGCCGCTCCACGCCGCGAAACCACGTCCCAAACCGCTCGTCCTTCTTGAAGCTGTAATTATTGCAAGCCGACTGAAGCAACTTGATCTGGACAATGACTTCGAACTCCTGCAGGAAGAAGGAAGGCGTTCAAGACAACAAAGCGACCCAGAAACAGGACTTTCAAAGCAGCGGCAAAGCGAGGGTGGATTTAATCAAAACTCTGGATTGAAAAACCACTTGTGAAAATGCCAGCCAGTCAAACCAGCACCTCTTCCGAGCGGAAGGTGAATTCTGGCATTTTTAGATTTTCCTTCCACATATTTGAGCCGCTGCCTCCCCCCCACCTTTCTCAAGATCATACAGGTCGTCCTTGACTTACAACTATTCATTTAGTAGCCCTGAAAGAAGGGACTTGTGACCGTTTCCCACACTTACAACCGTTGCATCATTCCCCAGGGTCACGTGATCAAAATTCGGACCCTGGGCAACCGGTTCCTATTTATTCATCATTGTCTCACTTAGTAGCAGAAATATTGAGCTCAATTGCAGTCGTAGATCGAGGACTAATTGCAGTGGCCGTTAAGCCCGGTCAGTGTAACAACCACAATCCCCAATATCTCACCTTCCTCCTTTTCTCAAAGTTGATCAGGCCGCCCTAAAAACGAAAGGAAAAAAACAAACACCGATCCTTAGTATTCCAAGTCAGCCCGATTTTTAATTTCTAAACATCTAAGAGATGAGAACGGATATATTTTCTGTAGCAAAGCAGAATCAGCGAACATAGCGAGGATCACAATGTATTTATCTGTATCCAGAGGCTAGATATTAAAAAAAAAAAAGGCATTCAAGAGGAGTAAAATACGTTTAAAAAGACGAGGAATCCGACAGGATGTGGCTGGAATCTCAAATATAAAAACACCCGAAAAGTCTTAAGCAATAGTAAGACCCTAGAAGCCAAGAGGAAGATAAGGGCCAACTTTCAAGTTTGTAGGCTTTACAGTTCTGGAGATTTTGTGATGATGCGTGAGGGGTATATATATATATTTTTCGATGTGTTTATAAAATGCATCTGCCAACCATCTCACCAGAAAGAGAGGACAACCCTCCTGCTGTCTGTTTTAAAAGTATGCTACCAAAGAGACCCCAAACCCCACGAAATAAAACGTAAACATTGCTAAAATGTAAGCAAAAGAAAATCAGAAGTCCACCACCAGGGGGCAGCATGCTCTCTTTTGGCCCCCATCTGGGCGGAGTAAAATTCCCTAACCAACCAACAAACTACGGTTTTGTGCTTGTTGTACAAAAAAAAACCACAACAACAATGACTTCCCCCACATCCGAAGCATCAAATTAAAAAAAAAAACACAAAAAACATAAATCATAAACCAGGAAAAATCAAAAACATAAATCAGGAAAGGACGGAGGCGACGAAGTGCCAAAATTAAAATTGTCCCTTAGGATAAAAAAGGGAGAAGGAAAACTAGGATATACAAGGAGAACCTACCTCTAAATAATCCTTCATGGCCGTGTCCAGCATCACCAGGTCGGTCAAAAAGGTGCCCAGGTAAGGAATGGTGCCTTGCATTACACCCTGGAATGAAAAAATAATAATAATAATTAAAATTAGGAATAGGAAAGCAGGCAGAAAGGCAGGAGAAACTGCAGAAAAGGAGCTCTAGGGGGATTCTCAGTCAATCCAGGCCGTTGTTGTCTCAAAGAAGCTTTTTCAAAATCACCTGGACTTCATTTTGCCTTGAAGAGGTTTCACTTCTCATCCGAGAAGCTTCTCCAAGAACTGAGCTGAAGAAGCTTCTCGGATGAGGAGTGAAACCTCTTCAAGGCAATTCTTGGTCATCCCTGCCGTCACCAGCACCATTATCATCTCTGGACCCCCTATGACTATGATGAAGTGTTGTACCTGATGAGTCTTGACTCTTGACAAATGTCTCTTTTCTTTTATGTAGACGGAGAACATTTGCGCCAAAGACAAATTCCTTGTGTGTCCAATCACACTTGGCCAATAAAGAATTCTGTTCTGTTCTGTTCTGTTCTGTTCTGTCCTACTCTACTCTATTCCTATTCTATTCTATGCTACGCTGCATTGCAGGAACTAAGCTTAGACTGCAGTCTGAGCTTCAATAAAGGAGAATATTTGTAGCTCGGGGATGAATTGAAGGGTCCTTGGTGCTCTCTGAGTTTGGTGGTCTATCTTACAGATGTTTCATGACCCAACTAGGGAACATCATCAGTGCTAGTGACGAATAGCATTTGTTACCCAGTTTGGGTAGAGAAACATCTGCCAGAAAACAACCAGGCTCAGAGTGCACCAAGGACCCCACAGTCCTCCTCCTCCTCCTCCTCCTCCTCCTCCTCTTCCTCTCCACAAAGCCCACTCCCTCCTAGCACTGATGTTGTTTCCCTGTTGGGTAAATGAAACGTCCGCAAGAAAAACCCCAAGTGACGACGAGAGCGCCAGTCTGAAGTTCGTGGCATGGACGCATCCTCACCATTTCTCGTTGCTGCTGCTGCCGCTTCTGCGCTCTTTTGGGGTTGATCTCCAGTGTGGCAAACTTGGAAGTCCCTTCCTGGATGTTCAGAAAAGAGAAGGAAGAAGTTAAAAGTGAATCAAGCCAGCTCTGAACAAGAAACCGGAGGCAAAACCATTAACTGCAGGGGTTCAACTTGTTTTGTTTTTTTCCCGAGTCAAGAAATAACCGATGGAAACCAACGAAGGAGAGAACCAACCTAGAATTCAGGAGAAATCTCTTGAGAGCTAGAACAAGGGTGCTCCACCAATGGAGGTTTTAAAGATGAGATTGGGCAGCCTGTTTGTCTGGAGCGGGATAGGGTCCTCCTGCTTGAGCCAGGGGTTGGACTAGAAGACCTCCAAAGGTCCCTTCCAACGCCATCGTTCAGCCTCTCCAATTTCAGGAACAGGCCCAAACTTTTCGCAGTCGCCACGGAGAGACACCCACCGGAAGGGAAAAGCTTCAAAAGAGGATCCAAATCGAATTTCTGAAGCTTTCTAGTTTCGGCCGTGGCAAATCAGAGAGCCAGGAAAATCCATTCTTCCAAACCAGATCTCTCTCTCTCTCTCTCTCTTTCTCTCTCTCTTTTTTTTTTTTTTGCAAATTTGCAAAATGCAACTGGGTCGGGGAAAGAGGTTTTAAATGCAACCCCCCCCTCCTCATATTCTGGGCGGCCCGAGTACCCCGCAGCTGGTTTATTTATACAGGCAGTCCTCGACTTACGACCACCACAGAGCCCCCAAATTGCCCTCGCTAGGCGAGACCCCCCGCTCATTGCATTTTTACCCCTTTTTACGGCCTTTTCCTGCCACGCTGCCGTTTTTGGTTTTGTTTTAAAGTTAACAAAACCCCGTTATTAAGTGAATCCAGCTCCCCCGCTTCCCCCACCCGCCATGGACTCGGCTCATCAAGGAGGTCGCAGGGGGAAACTGCGCCCGACGTAAAGGCGAATCGGTTGCCAAGGGTCTGAATCTTGAAGACAGGGACACGGGGACGCCGCAACGATTGCTAAGTGTGGGAAGACGGTCGTAAGTCCCCCTTTTTTGAGGGCCCTTGCTTGGACAGTCAGTAAATGAACGAATTGTAAGTCGAGGACTGTCTGCAGGGGAGGATAAATTTCTGCCTCTCGCCACGCTGGTAGGGAAAATATGACTAAGGCGTAGCAGCTAATCCACGCCTCACTGAGCTTCTCTGTGCTCCAGAAACAGATACGAGGCAGGGAAGCCCTGGGCTGACATGTCAGCCTTTCTCTGGCCTTGATCCCCTGCCGCACCTATCGGGGGATTCCTCGGCTGCCAAAGTTGGGAGTTTCCCCCCGAAACGAAACAGACCACGCAGCTATCGGCTGTCAACAACAGCTCCTTCCTTCTTGCTTCCCCAGAGTCAAAAGCCAGCAAAAAGAACTAGCCAACTTCGCCAAGCTTCCACGCCCAACATTACAACAATTCCCTGGAGACCTAAGGCTTTTTAAATAGGGGGTCCAGCTATTGTGGCTTTTAGCACTCCTGGTGAACACACACACACACACACACACACACAGAGGCACACAAATGTTATTTGTTCTACGCTCATTCAAAGTTTCCTTCCAACTCCCCCGGCGGGCTCACGCTGATGAGTCACCGGCGTGTTTACATTCAGAAAGCATTCGGGCTGCTCTAGCGCAGTTCCTGCGAGGGAGAAATCTTCCGTTTCTTGCAGGGGGAGGAAAAAAATGGGCCTTTTTTGAAAATGCAGAGGCCGTTTCATCGAGGTTTCTGGTTTTTTCCCACCAGGGAAAGGCAAGGATGCTTTTCCCAGCCTGCACGTCCGAGCGACAGGTTTACTGGAGTCTGTCTACGGGTGGCATTTAAATGTGGCCGCTTAATTTATTTACCGGATGGATAAGGCTGCTGGCCCTGACTCCTGTAGGAAGTTTGCCCAGCGGGGAATAAGGAAGGCGTGGTGGGAAGAAAGACAAATGAAGTGCCAGGCATCCGGAGGAGAGAATGGAAGGAAGGAAAATTAAGTCTGGGAGGGAGGGAGGGAAGGAAGGGAGGAAGGAAGGAAGGAAGGAAGGAAGGAAAATTTAAAGGGTGAGTAAGAAAGAGGGATGGAGGGAGGGAAGAAAAGATTCCTTCCTTATTTCTTCCTTCCTTCCTCCCTCATTCACTCTCAAAATTCCTTCCTTCCTTTGCATTCATATTTGAAATTTCCTTCCCACCCGAGAGAGAGAGAGAGAGAGAGAGAGAGAGAGAGAGAGAGAGAGAGAGAGTTCAAGGCAGGCAGGCAAGAAGGAAGGAAGGAAGGAAGGAAGGAAGGAAGGAAGGAAGGAAGGAAGGGAAAGGAAAGGAAAGGAAAGGAAAGGAAAGGAAAGGAAAGGAAAGGAAAGGAAAGGAAAGGAAAGGAAAGGAAGGAATTCTGGGATAAGTGGAGGAAGGAAGCCCATTTATTCTAAAAGTAATAAGACCAACAAGCACCATCCCATCTAACTCAACACCCCAAGACACCAGGTTTTAAGTGCTCTTTCAAACCCAATCAGGTTGGGTACCAGAAAAGTTTTAAGAGAAACAGTCCCAAGAGGAGGCATTGCCACAAAGGGGAACAACCCCCCCCCAAAAAAAAAGAGAGAGCAGAAGGACAACAGACATTGGGGGGAACAGAGGAGGGTCTTCTGCTGTTTATTACGGACCCTTCCTGACCTCCCAGCCTCTCGCCAAGCCGGCTGCCCTCTTTCCTGCCCTGGGGGGGGCGGGACAGACGGACGGACAGACAGCAACTCCAGCTGAGGCGCCCTTACCTTAATAAGCAGCTCCCGGCTTAACGAGTGATTGTTGTCGTCCGAAAAGATTTCGGATAATTCGTGGAACATGCGGCAGCTCTCCCTGCAAACGAGGGAACGACAACAACAAAAGAAAAGTGAAAAGAAGAGACCGGACCATCGCTTGTCTGAAATAGTGTAGGTTCTCCTGCTTGAGGAGGGGGTCAGACTAGAAGGCCTCCAAGGTCCCTTCTAACTCTGCGATTCTATTCTATTCTATTCTATTCTATTCTATTCTGTTCTGTTCTGTTCTGTTCTGTTCTGTTCTATTCTATTCCTCTTCAATTCTTATTCTTACTCTTTTCTCTATTCCATTCCCGTCGTTATTCCTATTGTTCCTATTCTAAAAATATCCTCATCCACATCTTTCTTCGATCCTGCTATCTCTCTTTTCCCTTGCCTTTTTCTCTCCTGCAAGCACAGACCTACGGCTGCAGTTTAAAATACACCAGCACTGCAAATTGCAAAACCCGAATAGAAGGCAAACATTTTGGCGGGCTGAATATTGAAACGTTTCATTGCAAAGGGAAGTCAACGTTGTTGGTTTTTTAAAACGTTGATTTCCCTCTGCAAATTAAACCTTTCAGTATTCAGCCCGCCAAAAACCTTGGGAAACATTGTCTCTGGGGGGGGAGAAAAAACGGATTGGATTTGACAAATAACTTTTGCAGGCTTCCCATTTTGAGACTGGCTAGTTTTGTTTTCAAAAACATTTTCCTCTGTGGGGTGAAAGATACTTAAAACTGATCACAAGGCACTCCAGTTCTTTCCCACTAAAAAATCTCCCTTAAAACTAAAGATTCCACAATTCCATCCCATTGAAAATTCCACTTGGCTACCAAACCAGCTTGCAAGAGGATAGAAAGGAAATTTTCAGGGAACTTAAATACAATCTACCTTTCATACTTTTCAATACAATTTTCATTCATTCGTTCGTTCGTTCTAAACGGAGATGGTTAAAGAAACTTTGGTGGGAATTCTCTTGCTGATTCAACCATTCTGAAAAGGTTGGCCTTAAACCAGGGTTGGATACAGGCGCCGATCCACACGTGTTTCCCCCCCCCCCCCCCCCCCCCGGACCCCCCCCCCCCAGGTCTTTTTCAGCCTGTGAACTGCGTTGCACTGGAGGGCAGAAAGGATGGCGCGGAGGGAGGAGAAATTCTTGAGGATGCGGCACTCCTGCAGAAAGGAAGGGGGAAAAGGATGAGTGTCGGCAGCTGCTCGGATCTCTCTGTGACGCAAAAAGGAACACGGAAATCTTTTCCAAGTTCTTGTATTGCAAGTAAAACTCTGTCTATATCTCTGATCTATCTATCTATCTATCTATCTATCTATCTATCTATCTATCTATCT